CCGCCGCTGCCGCCAATTTGCTTCCGCGCCGCCCGTGTGACGTACGCCTGTCCGGCCCTGACGTCATCAGCTTGCGCCATTCGCGACTTCAGAACTTCCGGAGACGGGAGAAGTAAGAGTTTCCTTTTGGGTTTCTTTACTGGCTCTTGCGCGGCGCCCTGGCGTCACAGAGTTGATAACAAAGGCCACCCGAAGATGGGGACCTTTGTCGTATTGCTGAGGTGTTTAGGTCATGCATTAGGTTTCTTATGACGTTGACGGCGACAGAAAACCGGCCGACCCTGTAGGCTCTTGGCGGACTCGGTATCCATCAGCCTGAAGATTTCTGCCTAATAAAACCATCGTTGTTGACACTTTTTGCCTTCCCTTCAACATCACCTTGAAGCATTTACTTGACGACTGACAGGTCGGGGTCACAGGCCATCTTTTATACCTGACACTGTCTGGTTTTGTTCTCAGATCATTGGTACTCATCTTCTCGCTTTCCGTTTCTCGTTTCCTTTTATGGACTATTTAATTCACTACTGCATCCCCGCCTAACTTAAAAATTATATCTGAGACGTGATTTTCTAAGTGCCAGGTAATGTATTACAAGGCAACACACATTCAGGACAGTTTTGCCCTCAAAGTTGAAGAGCTTACAATGTGGTACTTTGCATCTTCCACTTCCTGGGGATAAAACTGGGTAAAGGGTCTGTGGAAGTGAAATCGATTATCTACGATATTCGTATAATTCGATATTCGACGTTCGTATAATAGATTTGAGAATACTTGTGATTCGTTAATTGTGATAGGTATGCTAATACATCACACGTGTGTGTGTATGTTTTACTGCCTATGCCAGAGAAGCAATATTTATAAATTGCTTCCAACTACAGAAAAATGATTACGTTTATTATATCTATCAACTAGATAACACATAGACGCATTTGAAATCGAAATGAAATAAATAAACAACTTTACTTTAATTCCCTTGATTGTAATTCATGTGTTAAACCCTGAATTCACGCCTCGAACACTGTATTAATGTAATAACAACGAAATTAAAGTAAACATTCTTCTGCCTCCTTGACCAGTCAATCAACACAATGAGAGTCACGATACAACACAAATGCAGTAGTACGTAGAAAGTAGTTGGCGGCGATGGTGTAACGGTTAGCACATCGGACTGTTATTCCCAATTTGACGTGTTCACACCCGATCGAAGCCGTGGATTTTTTGAGGGCGATAAAATCCATCGTTCGCCTTCTTTCGGAGGGAAGTAAAGCCGGCTGTCCTATGTAAGTAGATTTACTTGCATGTAAAAGATCCTGAAACCTAAATAACGCCTCTAAGCTAAATTCAAATCGCCTGTTCGTCGCCCAAGAAATACCTCCTTTCTTTGATAGTTGGTGAAAGGAGCGTAGCGAAATTTGCGTGGTCAGACGGAAGAGCGGGCCTGATGGCCCGAGTTTCGCCACGTAAAATAAGCCATCAATTCAATTTAATTCCATAAATACATATCCAAAGCAAGATTCGAACCCGCGACTTTCTCATCACAGACGCCGAGTTGCAACATCGTTCTCCACCTTCCGTATAATTCCACACTTCTAACGAGATTCCCCTCCTCCCACGGTCAATTGAATAAACTGTTTACCGACGGGCAGGAAAGCAGACAATTGCGCGTGCCGAGAGGTCGCCGGGTCAAGCAGCCTTGAGCACCTCTGGCGTGCACTGTTGCGAGTGCTGACGAGAGAGAGAGAGAGTACAGTGCAGGGGGGGGGGGAGGAGTCGTTTTCGTTGAAGCGGAAGTGACAGATCTCGGCCTGCTTAGTATTCTTCTGCCATGTGTGTCACGGAGCAGCCGCCGCCCTCGCCGGCCCCGCCGCCACCGCCGCTCCCGCCGCCCCCGCCGCCGTTGAGAAAATTACAGCTTGACGCTCGCGACAGCGCTGACGTCGGGCGGTCGGGCGTTCGGGCGGTCGGGCGGTGGGGACGGCTTTTCACAGCTGTCGACGGCGGGACGGGCCAGCGCGGTGCCTGCCCACCCGTCTTGAAGCTGTGGGTGGGCCGGCCGGTGGGGCTTAGTCCACTAAAACGCGTCATTTATAAGTTAAACATTTTTTAGACATAAGGAAACGGAAAAATTATAGGAATTGCCATTATTTATTTTAAATGCCAACGACAACTCACCACAAAACCTATATGCTAAGGAAATGGCCAAAGCGCCTTTCTGTCAATAGGTTAGTGAAGGCATGCTAGCTATAAGTTAGTTGTAAGATTAGCTTTAGCTAAATTATAAGTACCTCCTCTCCCTTTTGGGCTGCGGCGCGGCAGATTGTACTGCCCCCAACCGAAAAAAAAATTACCGACTCGCCAGGGACACTGGTGGGGGGAACTTGATAAAATACGGCCGGTGTGGTGTCTGCTACGAGCTTAACTGAACAAGTACTGGCAAGTAAGGCATGAGAAGTAACGGCTATTGGTCAATCTGAGAAAACAATCATACTCTTAAGAATAAGTTAGTATAAAATAAAATATGTTAAAATTTCACAAGTAACTAGCTTCAATTTTCTGTTATACAATATTTCAGTTCTTGGGGAAATAGATATCGAGTGCAAAAGTTCAAAAATTTAATTTAACGAATTGAACCATTCGTTATGAACGGCCCTGCGGACTACGCAAATATGTAGGGCTCTACGAATAACTGGAACGTTCAGCAAATGGTATAAACTCTCGCCCAATCTCGTCACAACAGTGGAAGGTTACACGAGAGGCCCCATCTAATCAACGAACACACACACACACACACACACACTAATCGGACACTTTCAACAAACATACCGTACAAGTATACTCTTAACCGAGAGAGAAGTTCACATTCATGCTATACAGTATGTCCCTGTTTCATGCAATAAATATATTACAGAAAAAGAGAAGGGGAGGCAATATAGTGGAAGTCTTGCAATAAAGAGAGGTAAGAGATTAGTAATAGAGAGAGATCACATGTGGAGTGTTTATTCATAATAAGTAATATTGATGAGGTCAATGTACGTGATACCATTTTCACATTTTAAGTATTAATCTTTGTTTTAATAGTTTATTCCTTAATATCCTTATTATTTAATATTTAATATTTATTTGGAAAGGCATCAGATTAGTCCATAACTAGCACAATTATAATTCTTCGTAAATTGCTGCATTATCCCTCTACAACCATTAACAAGTTAACATCATGAAAGATGATATGAAAATAATGAAGATTATAATTAGAGCTGTTGCAATAATGAGAGGTACATGAATGTTTCCCGATGATCTCTAACAAACTACCAAGTCAACAAACAAGAAATTCCATATGGTTCTTCTGAGACGTCATTTCCGGTAATTAGAGATAGAAAGAGTGAGAGTAATATATCGTGCACTCCAAGCAACTCACTGAGAATTCGTTGAACTGGTAACTACACCCAAAGAATTTCATGTAGCACTCGCCCTACGTGCGTGCTGTCGAATCGTTAACAATCGGACTTGGGTCGTAAATGCTGCTTCTAATTCTCCCCGGTTATCGAGTTTTTTTGTATTGTAATTATCTCGTCGCCTCTAGCTACGAGCCACTTTGAACCACTTTGTAGGCGTCAGTTACACTTTCTTCCCCCATTCCATCCATTTAAAAAAATATTTTACAATGTTCAACTCTTACATCTCTACATATCTGAAATTCTCCGATAAGAAAAATAAATCAAACGAAATACAGGTTATCAACAAAACATGATCTATCAACAAAGATGGATTTCTTTTGTTTTCTACGCCCTCCTGACCAAATAGAAAATTTTGACAGTAAAATACAGTTATACCGATAACATTAACGTAGGTATGTAACAGAGAAACTGGAAATAAATTTAAGTTGACCGAGAAGTCGTAGCTTTAAGTCTCGTATAGGACGAATTTCCCACACCAAGTAAATAAGGTGTATATTCTTTGTAACGAAATTCCAGAGACCAATTAATTTCTTTCATGAGTGTACCTATGAGTAAGATAAAACAACCAAAATCAATTAAAATGCTCTATAGTGAGCTTTTTATTGTAAAGAATTTCATTTTAATAAGAATACACATACCATTGGTATGTCGACGCAGACCACTGCCTCATTGTGAATAGAAGGGTCCGGGTATCTCCGATAAATTTCGTGTGAATGTCACAACCTCGTGGTCAATTGACATAGGTCGTTTGTTGCCCGATTTGCAACAACGTTATATGGACAGTATTTTTGATTAATAACTTAATTAGAGCGCGTGAGGGTGCTGTGCAGATCGGATAATTGTTCTCAAACCTACGAGACGTGGATTTACGATCATGTGTTCTCAGATGTATGTGAAGTGAATTCATGATAAAATCCTCTCTGCACACTTATAATGAAGAAAATATATCTATGGATATTTTGAGAGAAACAACTATTAATAAACATTCTATTACATGTGAAACATTGCAACCTTCCTAATAGGAGATTGGCGGTGAACATCGACCTGAAAATGTAACGAACAGATGTTCGTCACGCTACACTAACCAGTGCCTTAAAAATCAGCCCCAGAACGTGCGCGATCTTTCCTTTCCATTTCCTTCCCATCCTTCCGGCTGTATGACGAGGTGATGCCTCATCTCCATATATCCCACTGCCCGTGGTGCCGAGCAATAATGCGAGAACATACGTGTGTGTCGGACCAAGGTCGGGCCTGGACTATAGCGCCAGCGGAGAGAGAAATTTGTAAGTTTTTACGATAATTATTAGTAGGAACTTTGCTCATTATGTGCTATTATCGGCGAAGGGCTGGTGGAAATAAAGTGGTTAAGGTGCCGTGCGTGGCCGGGCGGCCTGCGTTCGTGCGGCAGCTGACCGAGATGACGACGCGCACCCGGGGCGGGGGAGGGCGGGGCTCCGGGCGAAGAAGGCGGCCCGCGGCGGGGCCCGGCCAAGGGGTAAGCGTGCCGTGCGTCCAGCACGCGAGTGGGTTTGACACACGCCAGAAATGAGGAAAGGGAGAGGAGGAAGATGGTTAGGAGATGGTTTGATGTTGAAGATGGAGATGGTGGAGGAAGGAGGGGAGGGTGGAGGAGGAGGGGAGGGTGGAGGAGGAGGGGAGGGTGGAGGAGGAGGAGTAACAAGTGGTGGATGTGAAGGAGAAGGACGTAGATAAGAAGAAGACAAGGTGTAGATGAAATTGAAGGTGGTGGTCGGGGTGGAAGAGACGTTGAGGGAATGATGAAGGAGATTATTGAAGAGAAGATGATGTGAAGTGGGAGGGGAGAAGTAAATGGTGAAGTTGTAGGAGGAGGGAGATGAAAAGTTAAACAGGGATGAAGGTGGACTAGTTGAGGGACAGAAAAACGCGAACAGAAACAATAGTGCAAGGACAATAGAGCTGCCGAACGAAAGAAGAGCATCCAATCATTGGTATTAAACTATAGCTACATAAACGTCGAAATGGAGGGAAAATGCGCTATAAAGGAAATCCCCCTGTTTTGCCGTCAAATGAGTTGGGATAGTGGAATGGTTTACAGAATCATCAGGAAATAAAAAAAATGATGCAGACACTGAACGGTAGCCTGAGGATCCTTACCAGCTTTTCAGTGGGGAAGGGGGTGAATAAACCTACATTCAACTTTTTAAAATTAACGTAAATTGTTTCAATGTTAGCAACGAAAGTCGACTGAATTCTCCTGGTCTGGTGGAGAGATAAAAGTTTCGCATGTAGAATGCCCATCATGAACCATAAAATAATTGATACATATTCTGAGCAGTGGAACACTAACAGTATGCATGGGGTCCCAACTAACAAATTCCAACATCACACGCACTTTTTTCGAGATTCGGTCACCAAAATCGACCGAATGTTTGTGAGGGGCTGAAGAAGAAGTGGGGAGGTGCGAGGTTCGCGTGCCGCGCCGTGTCCCCGTGCGGCACGAACGCGCGTGGGCCGGGCCAGGACGCCTCACGCCACGCCGCTGGAGGCGGGGCACGGCAGGGCCGCGATGGCAGCAGTTCGGACTCGGGCGACAAGGGCGTTGCTACCGCGCCCGCGGGCTGGGAAGGGCCGAGGGCGACCACGCCGGGTCCTCGGGATGACACGCCACGGGGTGGGAGTCCAAAGGAAAGGAAATCTCTCGCAATCACGCTTCGTTTGGAAAGGAACTCACCGCTCTGCTTCACATCAATTGCAGTAGTGCAAAGTTGTAAAAGAGTCAATTATTTTACCGGGCAGGTATCTACTTTAGTCAGAGGCGTTCAGTTACCACTTGCGATGAATCTTTCTTTGGTGGTAGAGACCAATTTTATTGGTTTGACCTAAAATTCGCCCAGAATGCCAGAATCTTTCGACACCATGGAGGGGCATGCGGGAAACAAACCATTCCTCCTGAAAGGAAGGCAATGGGAGCAGAATCGCCAAGTTCTTTGATGCTTGCAGAATATAAGTATAAATCCCTTGTCAGAATATCTAATTTTATACTCAAATTACTATAAAAATAAACACTCGAAAAATAAAACATCTCTATGGCATATTACTTGCTCCAAGATTTCCGCATTGTTGAGAAAATATATCACATCGATAACGTGAACCGTTTAGTTACGAGGGTTACCGTGAAGTTACGAGGATTCCCCATAGTTGGTGGGAGATCCTGTAAAATAAAACACAGGTACTCATGTATATGTTACAAACTTCTAGGACACACAGGCGGTTGGAAGATTATTACTTTTTTGCCACTGGACATGTAGTGGGGAATTTCATAATGCTAAATTACACAAGTGAAATTGACTCCTCATTGGTACTCATAATTGAACATTTTTTATTTTCGAAATGCGGACGTTTGAATGAAAGTCCTCCTTTCCTATATGCATGCGCGTTCTTTGGTCTGTTTACACAAAAAAATTTCAAGCAATAACTTGCGTTTGATTTTCATTAAATTTAAAATTTGTTTTAAAGGCTTAAGCAATATAAAAATCTTCCTGAAATTCATATATTCCTTTTAACTTTGCAGGAAGCCACATAGAAGTGCCATATCCATTTTGGAAAACATGGTGAGTACTCTTAACGCACTAGTGTTATTCATAGACTAGGACATTTACGATTGACCGTATCATTGACGTGAACTAACTGATCAGATAGAAGATTTTGAAAAAGGAAAACTAACAACACTTTCTTACTATCAGGGCCCTCAAAACATACATGTCCAAAATGTGTAAATGTTGAGATCCATCTTTTGCTGCTTGTCATAAAAGTACTCTACACAATGGATTTGAGAAAGGAAATTACGAAACGTTGGGAAACATCATCTTCAAATCAATACAAGAAATCAAAACTTAGCAGTGCTCTGAAGTCGATTGATTGATTGATTAGTGACTTCGTGCAAGTCAACTGCTGAGATCATTAATCCCTTAAATGTAGTGCTAATTTTTACCGTGAGGTGGCGATCATTCGCCATTAGATAGCCGACCTACCCATTGTTTCACGGGGTTTTACCCCAACCAGGAATCTCCCTTCAGAGGAGCATCACCCCAGCTGGTCTAAGCCCACGGAGAAATCACGGAAATTCACCGAACACGGCAGTCGGCCGCTAAAATTCTCTTCCAGCGGCTAAATTCGGCTTAGCTATGTAGCTACAGTTGAAAATCGTGCCACCGTCGGATCTCGAACTCTACTCGTTGGATCTCCCGGTGGAAGACACTGTAGTGACAGCCCTAATGTCAAGCATTAGATGCTAGGCAACAATCTGCCTTGTCATAGGCACATCGGCTCCCGTGAGGTGCATTACGTCAGTAATGCGGGACGACGACGGCTGCGGCGGCGTTGGCGGCGGCGGTGGCGGTGGCGGCGGTGGCGGTGGCGGAAGTCTCTCCCCCACCTTCTAAACCGATCGCCCGCTTCGCGCTGCCGCAATTACGTGGCGCGAAATAAACGCGTCTGGGAAAAAACGTGTGCGCCGGCCGGCCGACCGGCCAGCCAACCAGTCTACTGGCGGCACGTCACGTCACCTACTGCCCGCGGATGCAGCCACGTGTGACTCGGCGCCTGCTCCGCACACGAGGTTGTGGGAGACGAGGAGCTGTTTAATTCTCGACGACTCTCCCGGGCTACAGCGGTAGCCCAATCACTTTATTTTTGTTGCGGTGTAACTGCTATAGAGTTTACGATGGTGGGAGGGTCAGTACCTTTAGATAACATGTTACTCTTATCGTCCTGTAAAGGTTAAGGTGGCTCAGGGTGTATGTTGTCACTGCAGTGCGTCTGACCGGGAGGTCCTGGGGTTTCAACGTGGCACGACTTCCGGATCTAGCTACATACAGCTAGGTCGATTCAGTTGCTGAATTTTGCGACTTTTACCCTGATCGATAGTGTTTCGTGGTTTCTCCGATCAACAGCAGGCGAATGCTGGAGTAGTTCCCACACAAGCGCGCACACACACACACACTCACACACACTTACTTGCACTACACTACCCCACTTGTCGAGTGGCCGGAGGCGTGCTTGGAGCTTGTCCCTGCTGGGGCGTTGCCTCACTGGTGGGAGATACCCGGTAGGAGAAAAATTCCTCGCAAGCCGACGGAGGTCAGATGCCGAATCTGCGGGGGATGAGCACCGTCACCTCCCGAGAAATAAACATGCACTACACTTACGGACGACGCGCCCGGAATCACGGATTCGATCATTCATTTGCCCGGCCTAGGAGTCTCAGGGCAGAAAGTGTAAAGCACAGGCGGCAAAACCGTTCCCGCACCCACATCTAACACATACTACATAGATCAACAATATTTTAACGATGTAATTTAACTTCATAATGCATTAATCTTGTGCATTCTGTCGATCGCATGATAGCACTGTCTGGATAGCAGCAATTGTGTTAAAGTACTTCGTTTGTTACTTCTGAGAATTTTGTCAGTTCATAATATAATTTTGAACTATTTTTAATTTAATTAAGTTATGTGGAAATTACGTTACATGACTTCATTCTTTAAAATAGTATTAGTTCATGCTCATGCGTATTATTGACCTTTCTCCATTGCACTTTGACATTCACAATAACGAAGTCGTTTCTTTTTACAACATTCTGCACCTCTTTTCATGTCGAACCCTTCGTGAAATATCGCTGAGGCACATTTATTCAAAGAGAAGATCCGCATTGTCCCAGCTTCAATGTACCTTACCGCGGTGCTTTGGAAAGTAGCGTACTTGTTCCGCTCCCAAGCACTGAAGTCTCTTTGTTATTTGAAACTTTGACATGCTGAAAGGAATTAGGACTCGTGACCTGGCGGCGACCCAAATAAAAAAAAGGAGAGGGGTACAACGGCCACGAACATTGTCAACAGCCTGGCCTTATCACCCTTTGGCATAGATAACAGGAATAAAAAAGGAGCCCTTTTTATCCAGTTATTTATCTTGCGACATTCAGTCAATGAGGTATTGACCGCATTCTCTGCACAGAGGCCATTTTCATATGCCCCCACAATGGCTTATCTATCGCAATTATCTTTCGTAGAGGCAACGTAGGTGTTTGAAGACGATTGCGGCTTCCTATAAAATTTAACTGCAAATCATAAAATTAAAATTTACTCATATGCACATGGACCCTTCAAAATTATACTTATTAAAACGGACCTTTAAAATTATAATCATTATTATATTAAGAAGTGAATAAAATAAACTTCAGTTGTATTTATAAAATACAAACATTTAAAAAATATTAATATTTTATTACTATATTATTGTATATTACTTAAATTTATTATTAATAATTACCACTTTATCACCTCTAATTATTAGTCATTGCATTTTTAGTACAGTGTATATTAGCGAAATATGTTAATAGTTGTACATATATTCAGTTTGTTGATTCAATTCATCCCGTTTTACATTCACCCCCCCCCAACCACACACATTTGTCATTTGTGATTCGTGGAGGATTTCGCTTCGGGGGACTAGTTTTGTACAGCTCCTTGAAAGTGCACGCTCTGAAAAAGGCAATTTACGACACCTCATTCAATCAAGTTCTCGCCGAAAGGGTAACGATTTTCATAAAGATAGTTGAGTTTTGTGTGGATAAGAGTTTTGGGGGTTAGGTGAGAAAAAGTGAGGCAGATGGGGTCCAATTTATGGTCCATGATTCATTTCTTAAAATTTATTTACAATTTTGTTTAATTAAATGGTTAAATTTTATTATACTCAGATTAATTAAGACTTGGCTAATTACTTAACACAAGGTGGAGGTAACATTTTGAGGTTCCTCATCTAACTTATGTTTTATAAACAGCGAGGTACCAAATAAGGAATGTTTCAACCTTGGATTATATGGATGGAGGTTCAGCTCTTCTAATGATTCCTACTCCTTAACATGGGTGGTCAGAAACGAGCAGTGACTTGAAATGTATTTAAAATTAAATTGAAGGAATAGGTGGAAATGTTACACGATAAAATTGAAATATCTGTTTGATTTTCATTGAAATTTAATCTCATCCCTCAGCAATATTAGAAATATTAGAATATTATCACTCTCGTGCAATACTGAAGCATGATGTTGTAACATATAGTCCTAGCGCTGGACGATCAATATCAATTTATTTTTACTAGTTACAGTGAGGGATGTTCGAACGTGTGCAGTTGCGTATCATTATTATTATTATTATTATTATTATTATTATTATTATTATTATTATTATTATTATTATTATTTCGTATGTTCTTTTACTACTCAAACAAAACTGAAGGAAAAAACTTCGACGTATTTTTTGATAGCTGATCTGAATAGTATAGTAATACTCCGTGACAATGCAATATATATATAATGAATTGAACTTAAATTCTTAATGTAGTTTGCTGAGAAAACCGTATGTTCTCCCTGTAGAAACGTAGTTCACATCGACGAACGGGTAATTTTTATTGCTAAAACTAAGGAAAATTTATAAAACGAAAAAAAAAAACGAATAAAAGATCGATTTCGCAGAATCTTGCACCTTACGAGTATTGAAAGCACGAGTAATATTCCAGAAATAATCAATAGCGATAAAATTCAAATTCGATGATCTCAAATAATAACTCGCTCTCCTACTCTCGTTCGCATGACATCAGCATATCAAATTTTCAAGGAAAGCATATGCGTTATCGGATATTATCATATCTCTTGATAATACTTTAATTTTTGGAATCGTAAGTGGGTCGAGAGGATATGATTAGTTTACATTATGAGATTTCAAACATTCGACTCTTTCATCTTTGCATTCATTTTACTGATGTAATTTCTTATAATATTTGTTTATTGTTGATGTGTTGTTGGCAGCGTTCCAAGTATAGTAATTAACAAAACGAGTGTATAAAAAGGGGATAATTGCACGAGTGGTATGTTCAAGAAACCGAGCGACGATGGAGCGAGTTTTCTTATATATCACAAGTGCAATTATACCCCTGTTCTCATGCATTTTCTTCTCAAGAAATATTTGCGCATGGAAGGTACTGATCATATTGCGGATAACATATTAGAAGAAGCTGACAATATTACTTCATGAAAACATGAATTCCCACGAATAGTAAAGACAGATGTAAGAGAGAAAACATGTTGTTTTCAACAAGATGTTTTTTTACATGTAAATATTTCATTTCGTCACGGTAAATATTTTATATTGTTCCATTAGTCAGCTACCTTAACGTTTACTTCGCCAATTTTGTTTTATACATTCGTTCTTTATATTATATGTATTATATGTCTTTATATTAAATGTATTTCTTGTAGATACGTAATCTGTGTGTACATTTTTGATAATGTTTCGTGACCAAGTGAAAGTACCTTTGCTACGTATGTGTTAAAGTGTCTTAATTAAATGATTTTGCCTCTTTCTGAATTCTGACTGGTCGACGTAAACTTTTAATTCCACGGTGGAATTTTAATTGCACGCGTTCTATTAACATAGAGATAATCAACGGAATTAACGAGCACAATTAGTTAACTAAACTAAAAAATATAGCAATGTCTTGGCCAACATTATTATTACCCGGAGTGGGGAGAAGGATGGAGAGAGGGGGAGGGAGAGAGATAGTTTTGAATTCTCGGAATGCAAACTCGAGAGGCCAAAACAGTAATGTTAGTACACACTAATCCCCACTGGGACCTCCCAAACAATTTTACGAAAAAATTGATCATGGACAATATACATGTTTTACGATACGTTTTGTAAAACATTTTATGTACGTTTCATTAAGCTCGCTTTATGAAGAAAAAAATGAGACGAGTGTAAGAGGCAGTAAATACGAAGAAAGAGCCGAAGGTAGGACTCAGTGACCTTGAAGTGGGTTAAGTCAAAAGGCGTAACACGTAGATGTACAGCGGGTTGCGTAGGGGCAACTTCACAGGCGAATGCACACGAAAAATAGGATCTGCCTTACACAGCCAGAAACGTCGTTAAATCAAACGTAGATTAATGTACTAATGTTCATGAAACTTAATGTGCATTGTAAGTTAAGAGTTTAATATATGTATAGATCGAATATAATGCTTAAATTAAAATCAGTGTAGATTAAATGCAGAGCTTTTCCACTTTCCCTGCCTCTCATCATTCGTTTCATATATTCATAATCACTAGTTCATCAAGATCATTCATTCATTCATTAAATTAAATTTAATGTTCGTTCATGATAATAAATGTAACGTACATTTACATTAAAGTAACGCAGGCATTTCTTACAGTGTACGGAATTTCGAATAGCGCAGTCTTCCAAATTCGTTTCGCTTCGAGTGAGTTTCGTAGGCGTCATTACAAAATAATTTTGCGAATGAGAGGATTAAAACGTTCGAAGCTACGCAAATCATAATGCATCTAGGCGGCGATATTGTTGTCAAGATTGTAGGGCAAGCCGGGATGGAGAAGGAAACAGGAAGTGGATACTATTAAGTTTATTGTAGTAAATTAATTCCAGGACAACTCCAGGTAATTGACAAGAAAGCATTTCCTAATGTCAAATGGATATTTGAAATATTCGTTTGTGTCTCGATGATTTTAAACGCTACTACATTTGCTTAAGGTTTCCGTTTATTATTTATACATTAGTTTTGAAAGTATATATTCTAATGCATTAAAATATTATCGGAAAATTATAATTACGGGGCTAAATATTCTAATTAAATTTTTAATTTATTCTACATGCACGTTTATTTAAACGGGTATTCAAAAAATGTTTCTTGAACTGAAATAAAGCACTGACTCTCCGAAATGTCAAGCAAATAAATACGTCCTTTTCCTGATGAGTAACGGAAGAACTTTCTCTTGTATATTCTCAACGACACTATTACAATCGTAATGAAAAACTAGAGATCGAAATCGTAATGTTAGTATGCAATATTCCCCACATGGGGAGGGGCAAACAGTTTCACGAAAAATTTGTCAGAGCACAACTCGCTTGTTTTATGAAACGTTTCGTAAAATATTTTACCTACGATTCGTAAAACTCGTTTTATAAAAAAACTGCACTAGCAATACCTATAAAAGATTCGAGTCGTTTTTTTCCTGTTGATTTCAGTGGTTGCGATGTTGGTTGGAAGTTCAATTTCTATTTGCTGAAATGGCCAGTAAAGAAATTGCGTGTGTCGTGACGTGGGATTCATTCATGGCTCGTCACTGAGACCCGCCGCACGTCACAGAGGAAGGAAGTGTTTCCTGGAGTCCGCAAATATGGAATTCACCACATTCGAAGTATAATCTAAAAAAATCAGTCTGTGAGACTTTTACGTTTTTCCTAGGGAGGGAAATAGCCTTGTCCGGTTTGCCTGCCCCTCTGTAATGCGGAGGTAATTTCGCATACACCAAGTTATTTTCAACCACTTTACCAGATGACATAGATCACTTGTAAGTGGATTCACAAGTTTTAATGCCCAATTTGTGTGCACTGCTGCACAAATGATTTTTTTAAAATTAAAGAGTATATTAAATATCAAATATAAAACAATATTTATTTTATAATACATAAAAACACTAGTACTTTTTATGAATAATACGAAAGGGTTGTATGCGCCATTAGTAGCGATTTATAAGTTCTGGTTTAGTATTCCCATTTTGGTTGAGACTTTAATACAGTTTCCATTGACTCGCACAAATGCTCAAAAGAGTTCCTTGTTTCACTTGTGAAAATTTAAGGTCTCTCCTCCAGATGTACGATCTATTTTACCCTGCGTTTCGTGATTAATGATTTCATAAGAAGGAGAATTGGGAAAGTCAAAATGGAAAGTCATTAGCTTATTGAACATTTTACGCAAGTTTTATAGTAAAAGGATTATTATGAGACACGACACTGTAGCCGAACATTTTGCGGTTGGTACTCATTGGAACTTCCTGTGTTTAAGATTTCAAAACGACGAGAAACATGATGAAAAGTGAAGTAAAACCAAATTAAAATTAGCTGTCCTAGATTTAATTTTAAAAGTATAGCGTAATAAATAACCATTATTAACATTATTCTTTCTACATCTAATTATAACTAAATTTACGCTTGACGAATACAAGCTGCGCTTTTAGCTACGCCCTCTGTTGAAATAATGGTGTACTAACATTAACGTTGACGTGTTAAAAGAGAGAGCATTTAGAAAAGGTCAGTAAACTAGGAGTTCTGGTGAAGCGTAGACTTCACGTTCAGAACTAAGTCTAACCATCGCAATCTCGTCTTGTTAATGTTTAAGTTGTCTGCCGACAAGTGTGGTAGTATAGTGCATGTAAGTGTAAGTAAGTAAGGGGTGAGAATAGGACAAGGAAGCCGGAAGGACGATCACATGATCGCGCGAAGTCTGTGGCCCGTTTCTTGGGGGTACTATTGCGGCATTAGTCAGACGTTGATCGGAAAAACGGAAAACTACCGATTGGGACAGTCGACCGCTACAGCTCTCTTCCAGTCAACGGCTGAATGCGACTTACCTATACATAATTACCGTATCTTGAGATTTCGAAACATCCGAATGATGAATACGAAATAAGAGCGAGTTTGTAAAGTATTATTAGGTGTTTTGAAACTTTATATCAGAAAACAATTAATTACAAACTTCGTTAATATTTTTGTAATAATTAGAATCTTGATCGAACATATCATTTGCCAGTTGGTATTCGGCCATTGACCCTCTGTCGACCCCATATAATCTTCAATGGCACCCTTTAAAAAAATTTCATCGACTCCCAAACTCCCGACTACTTAGTCGATAGCGATTCCGTTAGAAACTCCAGTTTAGACGGACTGAAAGGAAGATATGTATTTTCTAAATGCAGAGGTGGGGAGAGGCCGCCACTCGCCCTGGGGATTGCCCCCGCTGGCGTGAGGCTGCATCGCCCCTTTTGGGAGGCCGTGGCGTGAGACAACGGGCATCCCGGGTGGGTGGCGCGGCGTGGTGCGAGCTTTGCCAGTTGGCGGAGGCGTTTGCGGTCTGCGGTCGCGTCCGCCCGCGCGGCTTCCCGGAGACCCGCCCCGCTCCACCCTGCTCCGCTTCGCGTCCACTGCCGCCGCCGCTTCGGCAAACCGTCGTTCGTTGCCACCGCTTCCTCCCGCGTCGCATAAGGCGGGCCTCTTGCGCCACCTCCGCCGCCGCCTCCAGCACTTCCACTACCTCCACTGCCACCTCCACCACTGCCACCTCCACCACTACCACCTCCACCACTACCACCTCCACCACTACCACCTCCACCACTACCACCTCCACCACATAGCCACCTCACCACTACACTCTCACACACTACCACCTCCACCAAACATCACACACCTCCACCACTTACCACCTCCACCACTTAACCTCCACACTACTCCACCACTACCACACCCTACCCCTCACTACCCTCCACCTCCACCCACATAACCACCTACCCACCACCCACCGCCACCTGACACCTCCATTCAGCACCCATACTACATCAACACCACCAACCACCATCATCAGTAACCATACCCCCTCCACCGCGCACCACCCCCACCATGCATGCACACCACCTCACTCCCTACCACTCACCACCCCCACAATTACCAACACACTCCTCCACCCCCACCACTGCACAACCACCACAATCACCACCCACCACCATCACCACCACCTCCTCCACCTCCTCCACCCCCACCACTCACCAGCCACCACAATCACCACCACCTCCTTCACCCCCCCCCACCACTCACCACCCACTACCTCCATTGCTTCACAATCCTTCCCGCTACCCTTCCTCTCTGTGAATGCAATGCTGTCCATTGTATCATCTTTCTACTCCTCTATCTTCTGCTTCTTCCCATCATTCTCTTCTTTCTACACTTGCTTTTTTCTTCTTCCCCTTCTTGTCTACCTCTCTACTTATTTTCCTTTTCCTCCTTTTCCTTTTTCCCTTCTCCCGTCGTGCCTCTCTTCTTCGTCCTCTCCCTTCTCTTTCTTCTCCTAATCCTTCTCATTCTCCTTTTGCTGCTCTCCCTTATCTCTACGATTCTACTTCCTTTACTTTCATTTCCTCTTCTTGTTTCTTACAGTTTTTTCTTTTAAAGTTTTCTTTTTTCTTGTTCTTTCCCTTGAATTACTCATGATCCCGTCTATTTGTTTTCGTTAAAACGAATATTAGAATAACGTAAAATGAACTGGAATAAGTGTCAAGTTAATAAAAACAGAATCCTTTCCTTAAAACAATTTCACCACATGTGCGATTACCTCGAGGGAATAACGCAGTTGCGAGTTCCTATACTCTGAGGTAAGCAAAACACCCAAAATATACTCAAATTTGCGGTTATTTGATATACAGACTTTGAATCAGAATCTGCATCTGCAAGTCGGCCATTCACATGAGCAATTTATAATTTATCGGTGTTGTATTTCGTTCTTTTATTTTACAACATTGCGTACTATGTTTCTTCTCACTTGCCCTTCTATCAACACAGACTCCTCCCATCATGCCCTTCCCCTCTCCCACTTCCACTTTTACCCGCATAGGTGACCCACGGTATCAACTGATGTCACTGCAAGCACGGGAGGTCCTAGAGTTTGAGTCTCGACAGTGAGAGGATTTTCGGTCGAATTCAGCCGATGTCAGGAGAATTCTAGCGACCACCTGCTCTTTTTTTGTTTGTTTTTTAAAGTCACATCTAAGTCATTAGCCACAACTATTTCATTTAACGGTATGGTAACTGTAAATATGACATGATGTGGTGATGATAGGGGGTGAAAGGACGAACACAATTACAACGACGCCCGAGGCGGGACTCGAAGCCGCGATCCGTCGGTCCGAAATCGCTAGGGCACTACAGCCTCAGCGATCTCGGCCATCCGGACTGGGCCACCTGCTCTGATCGGTAGTTTTCCGTGGTTTCTCCGATTATACACACAGGAGAATGCCCGCGCAATACCCTAAGACCCAAATTACGGCCGGCGCGCGATCTTTCCTGCCTGTTCCTTGTCCTATCCTCATTCACACACGTACACTAACATGAACTACACTACCACACATGGCGGGAGCGAAGAGCCTGTCCCGTCTGGGGCGGTGCCCCGCTGGTGGGAGATACCTGGTTGGGGAAGACCCCTCAAGCCGACGTGTAGGTATGCGCCTGATCTCGCCATTCCCCGGGAGATCACCGTTACCTCCCGCGATAAAACGTACATTACACCTACGAGATTGACGACTTTAGCAGTTGACGCGCACAGAAACACTAAATCAATTAAACAATCAAACAATCTCTCCGTTTGTCTCTATTCTGGCACTCTTCGTACCATCCACAAACTCAAAGGATCTCATTCGGGTACTTCTGTTTATTCGCGTGACCTCGTGTAGTCGACCGCACCCCAGCCCGCTGCGGTGCTCCCACTGCACATCTGGCGATCTGCTCACTGCATTCTAGCTTACGCAAGCGTATTACAGATGATGAAAATACAAGGTCATCAGATTGTATTCGCAATTGTCCTTTGTCGTTTTGCAGTCTGTCACGTTCGGTATTACATCATTCGAAAAATGTAACTACATAATATATAATTGAACAAATCAGATTAGAATATATCGTTCCCTTGCTACATAGTAACATTTCTGAGGTTGTACAAATTTGTTTTTTCGTAATCGATCTGCGGCAGTGGGACAGTGGACGTACTAAGCGACGGTCTTATTGGCAAAAATAATGGAATAATCTCCGGTAAAAGCAGTGCTGGCACTAGCACATGATTAGGACAGACGATCTGAAATGAAATGCAGAGACCACGAAAATGAGATGCATAGAAACAATAGCAAAACATGTTTTCAGTATACAAATTAACATGTTTTGGAAGTCACAGCATAGTATTCTTTTATCGCATGAATTTGCAAATCAATCAGCACTTTATCGAATTCTCTAGCATCTCAACATTTCCCCGGACCTCGAAATTCTAGCTCCGGAGCTGGGTGAATATCATACATTACATATCATTACATATCATACAAGTCTTGGCAGGAAGTGGAATTGTCTTTTGCTGGAAAATAAGCTCTCGGGAAATATAAAATACATTTGCATATCGAATGCTAGCCGCCACATCTTCCTTCCGCAATCTTTACTAGAACAATAACAACTTTGTCGGAATTGTTTCGTAGAATTGTTTTATCTAATAACATGAACAAACCACACAGAACAAAACGTTAGAAACTCTATTGACACAGGCCGTTCTAATGTTTCATAAGGTAAACAGAAAATTGAACGGTATGTTTCTGCTACATTTTTCACACAATCTTTCTTTCTTTTCTATTCCAATGTTGCCCATTTTGACATAATAACAGGATATTTCGCAAATATTACATAATACCAACATATGAAATATTTTGAAGGAGTATTAATAAATAAATTTGCATAAAGTTCCTACTTTTTAGAAAATTATTTCCGTTTATCAACTTCTTTCTTATTTTGCCTATTTGTGCAAATAAAGAAATAGATGTAGTTATTCCAAGATTTCATTCAACCACTATCACGAAGGCATCTTATCATTAAATCAGAGTTTTTACCTATTAAGTCCAGTCAAAAAGTGTTCTTGCGCAAAACCATGGGGGTCAAGATTCGACCCCACGGATCTTCTCCTCCCCCCGGTAAAGTACAATCAGTTCGGACGAATACCGCCAGAGGGTGCCTTGTGCCTTTCGTTGCTAAGCCTGCCATTGTGGAATTTTGAGTTAATACTCAGTATTGAATTCTATCCAGTGCTGTTTACATCGCCGAATACGCTGATGCTACTCACTGCGACATTTCTCGTCTCAGTTCAAAGAAGTCTGAGTCGATTTTGGTTTCGCTCGCGCGAAAAGTTTTCTCAGAATCAATTTGCATTACTTTCTTTCTCTCCACTCTTTTTCTTTCATTTGAGATTTTTCTTCTTTACTTTCCTTCTCTTTCTGATTTTTCTCCCTCGTATGTATCATCTTAAAAAAGATTTTGAGTTCAGAGAAATGACAATGCAGGATTGTTACAGCAAGGCGTCTTCAGAATGTTTATCGAATTTGTGGGTTTTTATTCGTTTACTAATCTAGTAAGAAAGAAAACTCCCAACGGTTTATATCGTGGTTTAAAAATAATTTGGAATTAATGGAACCCTAAATTTCACATGGAATGAGTTTTGGATAAAGTCATTTAACACTAATAATATATTATGATTGAAAAGGTGCGAACTAAGGGCGTAGTAATTTCTACAACCTATAAACCCTTTTTGAAGGAACATTACGCAGAGCAGGCTTAAATCCACAAAACAGCGTTTTTTTAGTGTTCTGATTCCAAGTGCATTTTCTGGGAGAAACAATCCCACTACTTCTTTCGAGTAATTGCACCTTAATGAATTGCTCGCCATTTTTTTCCACGTAATTGTCGCACGAGAATTTCCATGATAGACAATTACTCTGCGCTGTGCAATATCACTCTAGCAACTTTAGAGTAATTCTACAATTGAGAAAGTAACGTGGCGGCACCAGGATGTCGTTTAGCAATTACAGCGTTTTATGCTTTCAGGTTTTCAGTATCTACTACGATTTGAAGCTAAAATGCATCTGTTTCATAATTTAGCAAATGAGATGTATGGATTTATATAGCGGTCGAGTTAATGGAAATAAAATATTTCTTCACATTATTCTTTTTTATTTCATGCTTCCGTCTCAGAGCAACTGATCTTCACTGCTTAATGAGAAAAGGTTCCAAACCGATAACAACATTCACGAGTCGTCAAGTCTCCGGATTGGATTAATCAAACGTAGAAATCATTAGGAGGAATGTAATTAAATGTAACATAAAACGTTAATTTTCTAATCGTAATTTAAAATTACATGGTAAAAACAAAATATTAACTAATTATATCATTCTCCTCCGTTTAGAACCATACTCCTACCGGAATGTTGACGATCCATTATGAAGAATGCTTCAATATGACTTTCCAGGGTAATTATTCGTGTGAAATAATGTGCGAGATCTGCAAAGATAACATGCAATTTATGGTAACTTCCTTTCGCCTTCCACGGCACAATGACCCCGGAAAAACGTCTGTCCTTTACGAAGGACTCGAAGCTACAAGTTTAGAGGAGGACTATTGTATAGTCGTCTGGGGTTGTAAGGTCAGCGACATTCCTTCAGATACCCACATTTGAAGGGCTCAGTAGAAGAAAGGGGTATCCCACTTTCTTGTGAATTATAGTTATTAGCATTAAATAAAACTTTAAATATCATTCTTTCAACATAATATGTTATTTAAAGCCAGTATGAACTTATATGGTGAACAGTTTTAAAACTTAAAATTGTGAATGTTTTAGGAAAACCCTCGTATCTCAGAACTAGGTCAA